CCGGACGGGGTAAATTTTTGGGAAACAGCTTTTCTGACTGTTGAACTACCGACGCGCCAAAGGACTTCAGAATTGATAGTAAAAATCTCATATTTCGCTTCTTTTTTTAAATATTTAATCGCGAGAAGGGGAAATTAAAATTTTTGCTTCCTATAATACAGATCATTGGGTTGAAATTAAAGTTATGCTATTACGTCGGCAAGGCCTCGAACCCGGGTCAACTGTTTGTGAAAGAGCTATTCTGACCGTTGAACTACCGGCGCGCGTTTGGACTTCCGAATTGATAGTAAAAATCTCATATTTCTCTTTATTTGTTTTATACTTTAACGCGAGAAGGAGCAATTAAAATTTTTTCTTCCTATCTTGCTGACCATTGGTTTGAAATAAAAGTTATGCAATTGTGTCTTCGGGAGTCGAACATGTGTCAACTGTTTGGGAAACAGCTATTCTGACCGTTGATCTACCAACGCGCGGAAGCCTTCAGAATTGATAGTAAAAATCTCATATATGTGTTCTTTTGTTTTATAATTTATCTCGAAAAGGAGCAAATAAAACTTTTGCTTTCTGTCTAGTGGACCAATGCTTTGGTTTAAAGGTTAATTATTTGCGTCTCTCAGGATTAACTGGTTTTGAACCCGGCTCAAATGTTTAGAAAATAGGTATTCTAACCGTTGAACTACCAACGCGCGGTTGGTCTTTAAAATGATAGTAAAAATCATATTTACTAAAGAATTTTGGCACACTAACATTTTTAACAAAAAAAAAATGTGTCACTCTTCTGAGACCATTACTGATCAAGTTATGAAGCTTTGAATTCATTATTTTTGGCCAATCAATAGTCTAAAATGTCTTAAAAGAATGAAAGTTTTATAAACCGTGCTGAATGATACTTTTTTTAAAAAATGTTGGTGTTTCAAGATTATTTAGTAAATATGGTTAATATGTAGGGGGACTGTATAAAAATTAATTTTTTGTAATTTTTCACCCGTTCTTTCGTTGACTCAAACAACATAAAATATAATTTTTTACTTTATTTAAATCATTTTCCCAACTAGAAGTATATTCCTGTCTCTTACGGTTTTTAAATTAACCAATGGGCGTCGTTAAGATTGGGCACCGTGTATAGTAAACATAAGCGTCTGAAAATAAACATATATTTAATTTTCTATTGTAATTGTCAAATCTTGCTGAAGTTTTTCTCATTCAAAATTATTACTTCTATTTTCAAGCAATTCTCTTTGACTTTACTTTTTTCACATTTGTAAAGATGAAGTTTTGTAATCGAAATTTTGTACACGTGTGCTATTGATGACGATGCACTGTTTGAATATTTATGACTTAATTATCATTTAATCTGTTTTAGTAATATAATAGCTCAGATCTCTCGGTAACGCTCTGACGTCACCAACAATAAGATTCGCGCCATAGCACTGCGAGACGCTAAACAGCATTATTTCATTGTTAGAAAACCTAAATTTCAGTAATTTTAAATTTAAAAGATTAATTGTAGTTATAATTTCAAATTTAATAGCTCTAAAATAGTGAAATAAAAATTGCTATTCATCGATATAAAATTTATCTCGCCATGATCAATAGTTCCCGAGAAATTTTAAATTATATTAATCATATATTTCAAATTAATTTCCGTTTTTTAATAGAAAGTAGTAAATTACGTCAGTGGTATATCACGCGCATGATATATTTTGGACGCCACGATGCATCTAATTATTTAGTGCAATCGTGATGATATAATTTGATAATATTTTTTGTCAACGTTAAAATTTACACAAAGAATTAACTGAAGTACAAGGAAAATTGTTGAACAACGGAAAATACTTCACACTGAATGTTGTTTAACAAGAAGTTTTTTGAATAAAGAAATATGTAAATAAAAAAAATATTTCCTGTCATAATACATATGTTTATTTTTTTGTTTTCAATCAATGTTAAACATTTCTCACGCATATATATATATATATATATATTTAAACACGTCAGATTTGACGGGAAATCTCTCGAATGAAGAGGCAATTTGCACCCGTCATACCACGACGGGTGATTTTCTAGTATTTAAAATAATGTGGTAAGAAACTTTCACCCCTTTCGACTTTCCACTCGACCGATTTCGACAATTTTTTTTTCATATGAAAGCTCACGACGTCTAGATATGTCATCAAGTGTCGCCTGCCCCCCCCCCTCACACACACACCATTTTCGAACGAAATCGAAAAAACACTTTCGCACTATACATTGTCTACGGGGAAAAACCTTGTACAAATCCCCCAGCCCGAACCATCTGACCGATTTCGACAATTTTTATTTTATATGAAAGTTTATGACGTCTAGATTTGCAATGAAGGGTCGCCTGCCCCCCACCACTCGACATTTTCGAACGAAATCGAAAAAACACTTCTCCACTGTTCATTGTCCATATGTTTTTTTCGATTTCGTTCGAAAATTGGGGATGGTAAGGGGAGGCAGGCGACCCTTCGTTGCAAATCTAGACGTCATAAGCTTTCATATAAAATAAAAATTGTCGAAATCGGTCAGATGGTTGGGGCTGGGGGATTTCTACAAGGTTTATCCATAGACAATGTACAGAGGAGAAGTGTTTTCTCATTGATGACATATTTAGACGCCATAAGCTTTCATTTGAAATAAAGATTGTCGAAAAACGTTTAGTGGTTGGGGCAGGAGAACTGTCTGAAGATTTTACCATATTATTTTAAATATATAGACAACAACAGTTTCATCACAATGGCGTGTCAAAAATATTGTAAAATACCTATTGTAGGTGATGGAAACTGTTTATTTAGGGCGACATCATTCTGTATTTATGGATCTGAAGACTTTCATGCCGAAATTCGTGTGAAAGTTATACAAAACATTCCAACTAGATGAGGTTTATTGAAAGATTTTACAATTTTAAAGGAGTCTGTTGTCTACAAAGAATATGAAATCTATTTTGATTTTATGGTCTGTTCTACAGTATTTAAAACTGAAAAAGTGGTGGTTGAGAGCCTCGAAGCAGCAAGGTGGCAAGAACAGTGCTGAGCAAGGTGGGTGCTGACCGCGAACCCGCCTGGAGGGTGGCGACAGCTGCTAGTCTTTAATTAAAGTAAATTTTTATTTAATTTACTGTTACCTGTGGTGCCACTTGTTTGAAAGTTTGGGAAAATGTGGTTTCAAGATTAAATTGTGGAAAATAAGTGAGATAAAAATATCGCTGTTTAGTACATTAATAAAACTGTGTTTTTAAAAACTTTTTTAATTTAATTTATTACATTCTAACTTTTAAATATATGACAGAAAACAAGCTTTTTTAAAGTTTTTAGCAAACCCTCTGTTCTTTTATGTATCTACGTTAACCCTTTGAGGAAGACTGTCACGCGGACATGCCAGCTGTTTGGCACATTCTCTCCTGATTATCACAATTACGTGTCGACTCTTGTGACTTTTAGCTACCGACTATCACGTCGGCGTGACATTAGCTTTAGTGCAATTAGGCTGAACTAGAAAAAGTGCTCCGACCCTGAGCATCCACGCGCGTTGGGAAACGTCGCACGTTTTCAGTGCGGCGGTCCTCAAAGGGTTAAGGCTAGTAGGCAATAATAAGGATCTGCACTGGAATATAAACTAAGATGCATTAAAAATACAATAAAAATAATGCAAAAAATAGGAAGTAATTCAGAATTCCGAAGTAACTTTAAAAATCAATAATTCTCAGACGAATAGAAGTAAAAAGTTTCCGCTTGTGCAAAAAGGTTAAAATGAAACCGGGTTTTTTTTTCTTTTTGTAACGAAGCTATAATTTATTTCGAGCACAATTACATTTTAAACCACCAAATGATTCGACAGTTTTCTGAGCGATGCGTTGCATAGAATAAGAGATTAGTGTCATCCTCCACTCAGGAGCTCAGATGTCAGGCAAGGAACCACATTTTGCCATAGCAGTAAGCATGTTATGATTAGGTTTAGGTTTAATTCAAATAGGTTTATTAGATGCAATTAACCTAATTAGTAATTCCAGGTTCGACCTTTGTCTAATAATTATTTTCATTAATGTAATCAATTTAACTCTCAGAATGCGACACAAAGAAAGACAATATTAATTTGAAAAATATGACATTAAACTTTATTTACAGTATAGATATTTAATTATAAATTTAGCACTAAATAAAATAAGTCCAGGAAGAGTAAGATCACCTAAAAATAATTAAAACAGTCTCTAATCAACAGTCTGTAATTGTCTCTAGAGATTCGATATCATGAAATGTATTTCAAACTCACCAGGCGGCGTTACGCTATCTCCAGTCCAGTATTCATTAAAATGTATGCGCTTGTAGTTTCCAATCAAAGGTACTAATAGAACCAAGTCACTTAACTCTCCTCTTTACTCACCATATATGGTCTCAATAAAGTCTTTTTAATTTACCAGGCAGCCACCGTCACTTGGATAATGAAACCATTCGGAGAAATCGGCCACTTAAAGGTTTCTACAAAACCAACCACTTCCTTTCTTGTTATCTTATTCTCAGCTCCCTTTTTTGTTATCTCCACCCCTTTATATATCTCGGGGTCCAATCTTCGTCCTTTGCCTTGCTCAATGGGCCAGGGGGTGGTGTCTTGATTCTTCTCGATCTATCTCGAGTTCAAGGGTGGCGCCGCTTCCACTTCTCGAAAATTTGACGTTATTCGCCACCATTCTGGAAATTTCTAATCCAGAGAGTTCTCAAGTTCACTATGTAATTCACTGTGTTCTTTATATATCTTGGGGTCCAATCTCCGTCCTTTGCCTTGCTGAATGGGCCAGGGGGTGGTGTCTCTGGATTGTTTTCGAATTTTCTAGAGTTCAGGGGATACGTCGCTTTACTCGCGAGAATTAGAGGGTAGTGTCTTGATTCTTCTCGACCTATCTAGAGTTCAAAGGTGGCGCCGCTTCTACTTCGCGAAGATTTGACGTTATTCTCCACCATTCTGTAAACTTCTATTCCAGAGAATTCTCAAGTTCACTATGTAATTCGTTGTGTTCTAATTCAAGCAAAATATTACACAACAAGCAACATTTATTTTACTCATCTTCTGACATATTATAAGAAATGGCGCTTTATGCTTAGTTGACTGTCAGCCAATCATTAATTCAAAAGAGTTTTGATTCCATACTTGTTGCGCCACCTGTCAGTGAGTTTGAGAAAAATGTGTTCTCAATATTAAACTGTGAAAAATTATTAAAATAAAAAAATCTGCTGTTTTGTACACTAAT